TACAGATTCTGCCAAATCGCATCAAAAAGGCAGGTGCCAAGTACAGATTTCTAAGCCCCCAGGTAGAAAATGTAGCTTAAGAAAAAATATAAAAAGGGTATTTTGCTGTCAAATAAAATTTGCTGGCAAGTTTGAGTCTTAGTTCTATATAAATAGTGATAAAAACCTATGTTTACAGAGCTCAGGGCAAACTCATGCGTTATTTCCTATTGCTGCTATAACAAATTACCACAAACTTAGTGGCTTAAAATGTCACAGATTTATTATCTTACAGTTCCAGAGGTCAGAAATACGAAATGGGTCTCATCGGGCTAAAATCAAGGTGTCAGCAGGCCTGTGTTTCTTCTGGAGGCTCTAGGAAAAAATCCATTTCCTTTTTAGCTTCTAGAGGCCGCCACTTTCCTTAGCTTATGGCGGCCTTCCAGCAGTTGCCATCATTCCAACCTCTGCTTCCTCCTTTGTGTCTCCTCCTTTGACTCTGAGATACACTGGGCCCCTCCCCCCAGGTAATCCAGGTTGAGCATTCCATCTCCAGGTCTTTAACTGGATGAATCACACGCACAAAGTCCCTTTGCCATGAAAGATAACATAGCCACAAGGCTCAGGGATTAGGACATGGACATCTTTGGGGGACCACTGTTCTGCCTACCACACTATACAACTTCAGAAATATCGTCTCAAATACATCATGCAGCACTTAAATTATTCACTCATTTTCACTCTTGGTGATGATAGGGAGGAAATTTTTTCTCTGCCTGAAGGTGAGAGCTCCTCGGACTTCAGCAAAATGCCTTATTCCTCCCCTTCCTAAGTCCAAGTCCTAGAAATGCACACTGTCCACCCATCATGCTGCTGAGGAAGTTCTTAATTTACAGGTAAAGAAACATTAGCATTTCCCTCCCTAAATGGTTCAAAATATGGGATGCCCTTTGTTAGATAGTCAGGAATATCCACCTTATTAATGGAGAGATTTCATGAAGTTATTGGGAAATAGTAGAGTCTTGTTTTTTCCCACTGTCCCCCAAAGTCAGTAATCATAGAAATGCGTAATGTACATTTATTAAATTTTCTAGCCAAAAGTAAGACAAAAGCACTGTAGGCTTAGAATAACAATAAAAGCAGCAATGATTAGTGATTACTTTGTGCTTGTTACTAACCAAAGGAACTTCATGGCAAGCTTGATTCTAAGCTCTTTTACTCTGGTTAGTAGTTAAATCCAAGTGATCCACGAATGATGCCAGAAACATCAGACCACTCCGATATTCTGATTAGATGACCAAGCACCAAGGACAGACAGAAATGTATCAAAGTAAACAGACTTTTGTGACAGTTGAAATTTTAGTTCATACTTAAGGCGCAATGTAAACACCATTTCTGTACTCGAGCTTTCTAAGATAGCAATCCTGTTGACTCAGGTGTATTGAGATAAGAAATGCTGACTGCAACATTATATCCAGCAAATAGCTCTGAATCTTGTAGACGAAGCTTAGCAACCTCTGCCCTGCAATGATAAAAGTAGTTCCTTGGAATGCACACCTGTCAGAAAGTAAAAAGCTTCCCGAATGATGACTGGATACTAAACCTCAGATTTTCTCTTGAATGAGCTTAGGAATGTCATTTTCCATAATGTCGTTCTCGGTGTGAGTGTTGTTGTAACAAGACCTAAGTTTTCTGAGTGTTTTGGTATCTTTTCTATTACCCTATTTATGTTTGAAGTAAAAACAAAGCCTTTGCCATTAATATTTAGCAAATAATTGGTGCTAAATGATATTTAGCGAAAAATGATAGGTGCTACCCTGACCAAGAGAAGTTTTTCCCTGCAAACCAAAATTCTGAGAAACAGACTAACGATATGTTCTCAGTGAAGCTCCAAGCTATCTCTGTCGAGTTTGTGTGTTCACAACGCCCTCCTGCTTTTCTGTAGAAGGCCCATTGCAGAGACCAGTCTGTTCCCTTGGGTGGGTGTCACCCCTGCTTTATCTGGTGTTTGGGAGAAAATTATAAGACCATGTTATCTGAAGTCTAAGTAGGCGGAGCATCATAAGGTCCTGCAGTGTCCTCAAGAAGATGGAGAACCACTCCAGTGAAAAGGGTCTCTGAAGACGGCCAACAGGCTTTACAAAAGCACGTGTCCTTTTGTTTTCCTGAAGTGGGTGGTACTCTCCCCAGTCTAGTGATGAAACCTGGCTTGTGGGCTGTATCAGTCATGGCCTCATCAGAAAATAAATGGCATGCTCAGAATAGGAGCATTTATTTACAAAAAGGCTAATTAGAAAAGGGTGAGAGATTGGGAACCATAAATAATAGAATGGGGAGGTCGTGGCCTCACCGTTAAACCACCTGTAAAAAGTGGCACAAAACAGTGACCAAAGCCTGGAAGGGGAGAGTCAACGTGGAAAGTGCCAACTTCAGAGGAGCACTGTCTGTCGCTTAAGGACACAGCAGTGTAAGGGGACCTTTAGTGAAGGAGCCAGGAAAAGGAATGCCCTGACCAGGGCTTTGCATTGGTCCAAACATGTGGGGAACTGGGAAGACACAGAGAAACTGATGAAACCTGTGCAGGTCAAACTAATGGGGAGAAGAGGTTGGTGAGCTTGGAGGGGCAAATGAAACTATCGAGTGGCAGAGCCAGTAACTGAACATGGAACTCGATCACTGATATGACTGGTCCTTTGGAATATATATTCACTCAATAAGCATTTAATTTCTACTCTGCAAAAAGCACTGTGTGTCCCTACTCACTGCTTTTCCACGTCTTTTTTGGTCCCTCTCACTCCCTGCCTCTGAGAGGAGACCACACTCTGTCTGTGGAGTGTTACCCCTTTTCTAATAAACTTTCCCTTTGACTCTAAAAAAAAAAAAAAAAAGCACCATGTGAGGTGCTGAGGATTCTGAGGCAGTAGCATCTCCCACTGAATGATGCATCAATCCCTGGGCTTGAGCTTCTCACAAGGAACTCTTACGGCAATCCTACACAGTGGGTGGTGTTATCTCTTGGTAGAAGGGATGTCTGAAGGGAAGATGGGCTTGCCCAGGGTCACAGCTGGAAAGTAACAAGGCTGAAATTTGATCACATGTCTGACCCCATGCCGACATTCTTCAGGTGTCATCCTCCAAAGCAGCCCTTTCCCACAAGGAAATTTAACTGGGGAGAAAACCGGTCTTTTAGTGTTGCAGAATTTCCTTCCAAAACTTTTATAGGCAGGTAGAGTTGAGAAATGGACCTTCGTGAGACCAGGACCATTCACTTCCCACGTTAGAACAACGATTGAAATAGCATCTCTGTTCTCAAGTGGGCAAGAGTGAGACCATCTGGTGTGAGATGAGGTTTGGGGGCCACACCAAGCATGCCCGCAGCACAGCGTGACCAGGATCAAGAAGCACCCCATGATGGGAGCAGCAGTGGGGGGCAGGTGGAGGGGGAGCTGCAAGACCATGTGAGTCTGGACCGAGAACATGGTTCCTCAGGCAGAGTTGCAGTTTTGTTGTGGGATGGGGCCCTAGACTTGCACATAATAAAAATACAAGGTGGCAAATCTGAGAGGAAGGGCCCCAAATGGGGACCTGTGAAAGTGCCAGGTGGGGAGCCGTGCTAGAGACTTCAGAGTGCTGTCCAGCTTCTGTATTTGGTGCCTGCTCTGGACTGAACTAGAAGTCCCCTCTCGGACTTGGGGCCAAGGAATCAATCAAGCAACTCAACATAACAACCTGCCTGAGGTTCTCAAGGTGTGGTCCCTGAAGCAGCAGCATCGACATCACCTTAGAATTTGTTAGAAATGCAAACCGAAGAGGCGCCCCCCAGACCTGCAGAGTCAGCATCTCTGGGCATGGGGTCCAGCAACCTGTTCTCACAAGCCCTCCGGGTGATGCCGAGGCACACTCCAATTTGAGAACCACTGCTGTGGGGTCACTAATTTGTAATTGAGGCGGAGGGTGTTCAGGGGGCCCTGACAACAAAGAACTCTAAGCCGTGTTTAGTGTGGTCTGGGGAAGGGGAGGGAGATCATTCCCCATGGAAAGGAGCCTAGTGAGTGACTGATACTGGTGAGTGCTGGGCCATGTGTTGGTGTAGGAAGCAGCATGAGGAAGTGTTAAGACTTAAGGCAAGACTATGGGTCAGTTCTTGTTGAAATTCAGGGGAGATAGCGGAGCAGAGGCTGGGCAGTAGGGATGAAGAGCCCTAAGATTTAGAAGGTAGTCAATGGCTCTTGGTTTATATCAACTCACTTGGATTCTCACCCTTTTTCTTCTTGTTCTTCTAATTCATTCTGGCGACAGACCTTGCTGTGTGGTAGGTATTAGGGGTGCAGAGTTGGACAGTACATGGTTCTTCCACGAAAGTGGGGCAAGTATATAAACTTTTATTGCACTGTGGTAACGGGTCAGAGAAGGTTTTGTGAAGGGAAGGAGCCCATTAAAAGGAGCATTCCTGGCGAAGGATTTACTGTCTTGTGCATTAAGGACTTTGGGTGGGCGCACTGTATGTTCAGTGAATAAATATTTGCGTGTCATGGGAGCCCCTCTCTGCATGGGGAAGCTGCTGGAAGGAGGGCGGGCCCAGGTAACAGGAATGGTGGTTGAATCCTTGTGATGTGTTAGGTACTCTTTAGCATTTTATATTTCCATTATTTAATCCTCCCTAAATCTGCTGATTTTGTGAGATCGTGAAGAACATGCTAAAAGTTTATATTTTATCCTGTGGGCAATGAGCAGCCTTTGAAGTGTTTTAAGGAGGAGATGGTTTTGGCACCAGTCTCTGAGCCTCTGGTTCACAATTCTGACCACACATGAGAAGTGCCTGAAGCTAATTAAAAGAAAATGCAGCAGCCAGGCCCCATTCTGGATCAGAGGCACTGCCTCAGTCTGGGATCCGGGAGAGGGCTGGAGCTGTCTGGGCAATACATATGACAGCCAGGAATAATCAGAGGGTTTGAGTTCAGACACAGCAAAGAATATTCTAATTACTTGACTTTAATAGTGGCATTTTGTTTTTCTTTCAGGAATGTCCAAATCACCGGTAAGTCTTCATTTTTCTCTCCGCATAGCTTCATCTTACAAACTTGGCAGTCCGTTTTGCCCCAGTCAGTCGTGCTTCATTCACATAGCAAATGTGTATCATGCATCCAACATGAATGAGGGGACAATCCTGAGGTTCTATGTGACATTCCTTCTCTTTAGGAAATGCTATGTAGAGTCCTTCTCAGACTAACAATAAAACTAGGTGCTTTATTTTATTGTCGTCTCTATGTGGAGTGGAAGGGAATAAATTTGTTTTAATTCTGTGTTTCACCTCTGGATAGTCACTGACAAGTTTCTAAATAGGCATGGGCTACTTTTCATACCGTTAGCACTGATTTGTGAATATGGACCAGGGAGGAGCACATTTTAACCCTAAACTGTTTCTTCTTGTCAGAGTTGCTTCGGTTATCCCCTGAGCATCTTCTTCATCGTGGTCAATGAATTCTGTGAAAGATTTTCCTACTATGGAATGAGAGGTAACTATTTTTGACACCCCGCCCCTTTGCGTAAAGAGCGTGATTTACCGCAGCCACTCCTAACTGTGTTTTTCTTGCCCTCCCCGTTCCCTCTTTGAAAAGCACTCCTGATTCTGTACTTCACACAGTTCATTGGATGGGACGACAATCTGTCTACCGCCATCTACCACACGTTTGTTGCTCTGTGCTACCTGACGCCAGTTCTTGGTGCTATCATTGCCGACTCCTGGCTGGGAAAGTTCATGTGAGTAGTCGCAACTTTCTTGTTCGCAAGGAAGCCAAAAAATAATTATTAGTTTTGTGATTTGGGATGGTGTGCTCTGGGAACAAAGAATCAAAAACATAAAACTCTTAGGAGAGCATGCTAGACCCTGTTTCTGCTCATCATCCTATCCCCAGAGCCTGGCACAGTGCCTGGCATTTAGCAGTGAATGCAAGCAGCATTAGTAGGGTTTTTTCCCCTCCTCCAAAGAGTGATAACTCCTTTGTCTCATCTTGAAATAGTAGTGGGGATACTGTCTATTATGAATGATGTTAGGGCTGGGAGTCAAGGAAACTCCCTAATTTATGTCCCAGCTGCTGAAAGGCTCACACCACTGGATGATCAGAGAGGACGTGTGGCACTCAGGAAGAGGTCTACCAGTGCACCCAGTAAGGGAGCTAACAGGAAGTTCCTAGGACTTAGTGAGCAAGGAAGTGGAGGCTCTTCCAAGCCAAAGGTATGATATAGGCAAAAGCAGGAAAATTCACTCTCTAAAAATGATTCAAGACAGTACAAAAATAACCAGTGGTCCACTTCCGGCCAAGTGTTACCAGGCACAAGATAAGTATCTGTCATTTCTTAAAGATATAAGTACAGATTTCAGTAATTAGGTAAAATAGGACATTGAGTCTTTCAGTTCAAGGATAAAACTGATCTTTGTCCTTCCCCTGGCTCCTCCAGCCAAAACTTTGCACTTGCATTCTGGGTCACAGATTCTTCGGCAGGTTGTCTTTCTAAGAGTTACCAGTTTTACTCAAATTTGAGAAACAAATATATTCATGACTGGGCTCTTGAAAGTTTGAAGCAGGGGGCCTTTTTGCGGTGGATTGTACAATTAATTTGGATTTTCTTCACCTCTTTAAACACAGGACAATTGTGTCACTATCCATTGTCTACACGATTGGACAGGTAGTCACTGCAATAAGCTCCATTAATGACCTATCAGACTTCAACCACGACGGAACCCCTGACAGAATTTCTGTACATGTGTAAGTTGATGTTAACTTCTGCCCTACCTCCATCTCCCCACTGGTTGCTTGTTTGGTGCTCTAACTTTTATTCTTTTTCACTGATCTTTACCATAAGTGTAAGGAGACCCTTCTTCCCTCATCAGCAGTATAGAGAAAGCCATTTAGTTGACTAGAGTTGAGTCTTCAGTCTGTCATCATCCTAACAGTTGTCTGGAGTCATTGCTCACTTGAAGGCTTGTCTGGGGTACATCTTACGTGATGCATGGTCAAATGCACAGGATACTTCTGCTAATCTTGATCTTTCCTTCTTGAGAGGAAACTGTGCTGGGTTTCCTCAAGACTCTGTATCTTCGGTTTTCTGTCTGTACTATACTTTGGCTGATTTTTCAGTAATGCAGTTTCATAAAATAATGCGGTTTCATTTGTTCATGCCCTATGTTCTGAGTTTTTGATGGAATGTACTAGTGACAAATGCTTCTCTGCTAGATTAATTTCCCTTTACTGCAGTCTGGTCTAGTAGACAAGTTACAAAGATTTATTTTGTTTCCTGTTCTTGTGCTTCACTTCCTTAATCTCTGAGTAAAACCATCTTGTGGAATGGGAAAATATTATTAAAATTCAGATTAGTATCTGCAGTCACTGTGTTTCTGACTTGTTCGTCAATTAGATTGCTGTTCAGACTAGGGCCCTTGATGTAACACCCTTAGTGCCTGCAGGGAACTGTGTTGGTGGAGGGGGTTAGTTATAAGCATAGCCCAGTTAGACTTTCAGTATCTGTTTACCAGCTCTCTCACAGAGTAGCTGTAAGACCTGGGGCAACTTATCTTCTCTGTGCCTTAGTTTTCTAATCCACAATATCGATGAAGAACATGGACTTTGGAGCCAGGGTATGTGGGTTCAGATTCCGGCTGTGCTCCTAACTTGTTGTGTGATCTTAAGCGAGTTTCTCACTTTCTGTGCCTAAATTTCCTCATTTGTAATGGTACATACCTCATATGGGACTGTTATACATTAATCCAGGTAGAGCACCTGGAACATTGACTGGTAAGTGATAAGTACTCGAGAAAGCTTAGCTGCTTATTTTATTTTATGGAGTTAGTATTAGAACATACCTACAATTCTCACAAGAGTGCATGGTGTATAATATTCAATTGGCCACTTTTCTTTTTGTCTTTTAAAATGCTTTTAGTGACAGCACTTAATGCAAGTTGTATTAAGAAGCGAACAGTGAAAGAGAGGCTTCCACCAGTTAAACCAGGAAGATGAGCATGATTTTTTAAAGAATTCTTTCTCTGAGCAGTATCTTCATTGACTTTTCTATTTCACAAAATATTTTTAGCATTTTAAAGCAATGTTAGCAGCCAAGAAGAATGGAAGAAACACTTATAAAACCTAAAATTTGTAGTACCTACTATAAATTAGCAAAACTACAAAATGAGGGTTAGTAAATTCTGTGAGTGATTTTTTTTTTTCCAATTTGGGAAGTAAAACACTTATAGATAACTGGAAAATACAAAAGCAAATAAGAATAAATAACCCTTAATCCCTTTAAATTATTATAAACAATCCTTTTAATATTGTAAAAGATTATAATAAATATTTTTCTCTACTTTCCAGTCTTCTGTACTTTGTAAAGAAGTTAAGGTCATATTCGATAACCTGATATTCTGCTTTACAATTAAATCATGTTTTCCAGTGTCTTATAACGTTGCTTATGGGTCTATTATGATTGTGCCAGGAACAATGCTTAAACATTTCACTTGCTCATTCTTTTGCTGAAAATGATAAGACTGCAAAAAAACTCCATATGAAAATTCTTGTTCAATATTCAAGCTATTGTTTTAAATTTTCTAGCTAGTAAATTATTATATAAACTTATCATTATATAAATATGATATAAACTTGAAGACCCATGAGATCAAGTTCCATTCACCTGTCAAGACTGCATTCCTACGCATCATCTTCTCATATAGGTTGATTCCCTTCTCTATGTTTACCACTGTACCTGGTCCCCTGAGGAAAATTAGGAAAAAGGAGGCTCCTGCTTTTAAGGATTCTCCCATTCAGGCAATAACTCCCCTTCTTTCTTTAGGGCACTGTCCATGATCGGCCTGGCCCTGGTAGCTCTAGGTACTGGAGGAATCAAACCCTGCGTATCTGCATTTGGTGGAGATCAGTTTGAAGAGGGCCAGGTAAGAGGATGTGCCTTTACAGAAACCACATAAATGAACTATAAACCTCCAGAAATCAAATTCCACTGACACAAGTCTGTTCTCCACTTGATTCTTTTCAAGTAGACTAGAAAGTAAGATACTGACCAAAACTGATTTAGAAGTAAGGTCAGATCATCAGCTGCACGTAATCAGTTGATACATAGCCAAGGTCATACTTTAACTTTATCCTTTTTTATTATAGGAAAAACAAAGAAATCGATTTTTTTCCATCTTTTATTTGGCCATTAATGCTGGAAGTTTGCTTTCTACTATCATCACTCCCATTCTCAGAGGTAAAGAATATCTGAAGGGAACTGTTTTTTGAGTTTTTTTAAAATTAATTATGGGGAGAAAGTCAGGCGAAAAGTCTTAAGTCCTTGTTTTGTTTTTTCCTCTCTTCTCCCATTATATTTCAGCCTCATTCATAATAAGAGATAAGACAAGAAAAGCTGTGAAAACCATACATTTTTGCCTTCCAGCTTTGCTCCCCGGTGTTGTTCAGTGAGTTAGGAAGAACTTAGTGGGCAAAGTTTTATTCTTTACTTTCCTATCATCTCAGATATTTCTAAAAGAACTGCTCAAGAAAGAGGATGAGACAGCAAATGTCAACAGCACGCAGATTGTTGTGCTTGTTAACAATCCATTGAGTTTGTGAATTTCCAGATGGAAAGGAATATTTGAGGACAAATTAGACCAAAACAAGATCATGATGTGCATACTGAATCAGATTAAATTGTGAAATAAAATATTTTGTGGGGATTTACATATTTCTGCATAGGCTGATAGTTTGAAGATGACACTTAAACCACATTCTGACTTATTTTATATAAAAATCGAATAGCTTTTATTCATACTTTCATTCTCAACTCCTCTACCTGTGTCCCCACCTCCTAGAATATCTACTGTGCATGTTTGAACTAGAGAATGTATTCAAGGATAACTTTTTAAAGTAAAATCATGACTCTCACACAAATATGAAATGAGCATGTGATAAAGATTGTATATAATGTATTAATTAATGAGGGAACTGGAAAGCTACTATAGTCAGCTCAAATAAGGATTTTACTAACAGATATATTTATATTCTTTATTGGGGGAGAATTTATTTTGCATTGCTATGAACAGGAATCATTTGTACAGCTATGGACAGGAAACACGGCATGACTATCAGTTTCTACTAGTTATCTTCTTTCTCTACAGAATTGAGAAATAGCTAGTCAAAGACAAACTTAAAACTGCTTTAGGATCAGATTCCTGGAGGCTCCATCATTCCATTGAAAAGATTTCCAGAATTCTCTGTTGTCCCTTCCAACGTTTTAATTTTTTTCCATACCAATCCTAGGATTTCAGAGCTAAAATAGATCCTCATACAGGGGTTGGCAAACTATGTCCCGTGAGACAAATCCAGAAATGTAGGACAAGACCATCCATTTGTGTATTGCCTATGGCCACTTTCACCCTACAAAAGCAGGTTGAGTAGTTGGGACAGAGACTAAATGGTCTACAAAGCCTAAAATATTTACTGTCTGGCTCTTCACAGAAGTCTGTTGACCCCTGCCCGGGGTCATTTAATTATTTTCTAATTGGCATGAATTCAGGAACATACAATCTTGATTTTCCATGGCACTTTCAATTTTATTTACTGAGCACCCAGATCATTTTTATGTCCCTCACTAAGAAAATCTACAGAACATAGAACTGATTTTAACTTGGCCAGAAGCAGACATCTATTCAGGGGCTAAGATTAGAACCTGTCTCCTTCTCTTGCCCTTTCTTCTACATAACTGCTTTGCTTAGCTGACAATGACATCAGTAAGTCAAATGAATAAGTCTAAAATATTAAGTGAAAACAATATGTAATGACCAGTTAGGGATTTTTTTAAATAGGGACTATATGAGCATTACCAATGCCATAATGAATTTTAATCTTGTACTATCTCCCCAGTTCAAAAATGCGGAATTCACAGTAAACAAGCTTGTTACCCACTGGCATTTGGGGTTCCTGCTGCTCTCATGGCTATAGCTCTGAGTAAGTAGAAATCGGTTGAATTAATACAATCCTATGATCAGGTTAGGCCCTCACATTAATTTTTGTGACCAATTTTTTTAAAGTTTATGTAACAAATTGGAATAATAAGTAGTATGAAGAAATGTATGTTACGTATGCTCTGAGAATTCAAAGAAAGTACAGTTGGCATATTGTTTCAGAGGGAATAGGTTCTAAAAAGGGCTTACATGAAAAGGGGTCAATCGAGTTGGACATTTAAAGGTTTGATACTATTTAGGCAGATTAAGATGAAGGTGATAGATTTCGACTAGACTAGGTGAACCCATGGCTGAAAGCTTTTCTTATCAACATGTGCTCATCTACAATTTGAAGACATGGCAACTTGGCCCAACTATTATTTCAATACTTCCAATAAACATCTAGATTTCCATAATATGTCATCTCAAAATGTTTCTACTAGAATATCTTCCTTCTGGGATGAATACATGTGTATATTAGATACATTTGTTTGCACATTAGCTCTGGGCACTGGCTTCTAGGCACTTGGCACTTGGCTTCACACTTCTAGGAAATGTGAAGAGATTTCTACATGGGTTAATTTAGCTTGAAAGATGGTAGGAGTCCTCATTTCTTAGAACTCCCATAACAAAATACCACAGACTGAGCAGCTTAACCATCAGAAATTTGTCTCACAGTTTAGAGGCTGGAAGTCCAAGGTTAACACGTCAGAAGGGCCATGCTCCCACTTAAGGCACTTAAAGAATCTCTTCCAGGCCTCTCTCCTTCCTCTCTAGCCGGTGGCAGCATGATGTCAATCTGCCTTTGGCCTTTTCTCTGTGTACATATCTGTATCCAAACGTCCCCCTTTTAAAGACACCAGTCATATTGGAGTAGGGCCACTGTAATGACTTTATCTTAACTTGATCATCTACAAAGATTATATTTCCAAATAAGTCACATTCCTAGGTACTGGGGATAAGGACTTAAAGTCATTTGGGGCAGGGAATAGAGGGTATAATTCAACCTATTATAGTAGTACAAGAAAAAAACAATTATGATCTCAAGCCTCCATAGCCTCTTCCTTTGCTCAACTGAGGTAGCAGTCAGCACTGTCACTGTCTCTGATGTTTTTCAATTCTTAATAATATCAAGTATGCACCTTTTTAACCTCTTTTGCTTATGACATAGCAATTTAGCTTTTTCTTAGGCTTATACAAGAGCTCAGCATTCTGTATATGTCCATTTTCTTTCATAATTGTTTAACTCTGCCACACTCCCCTAAAAGGCTCATATATGCCTTCTCTCTAAACGAAGATTAGAGAGGATTTCAAAAATTGTTTTAGGCTAGACACTGTATTAAGTTGGCATTAATACAGTGTAAATTGTCATTTGGTCTGTACAAGTCATTGTTACATCAAAGACTATGTTTTTTCTTGCAAAGGAATTGCAAACAGGCCCAATCCTATGCATCGACACCATCTCTAGAAGTTTCTATCTGCAACAATCTTATTCATGAATTAAGCTTCAGTTAATCAGAAGCTTAAAGATTAAAATATTAGTTGGCCAAAAAATGTAGACTTCATTTATTGGGCACCTTACCATCCACGTCTGAATTGAGGAAGATTGGCACTGGGTGAGAATACAGGTAAACTTTTCTTTATAGTTCTTCAACTATAAAGAACATCTATAATACAGGCACACACTTGAAGATGATTGAGAATTGGCACCTGTCAAAATCTTGGGCCCTCTTAATTGAGGAAAAAAGTAGAATTCAAACAATTCATTGATGTTTTAAAATTATTGCATTCTGGTATTGGATAATCAGAAATCCTGATCTAAGGATTGTATTTTCAGAGCATCTTCCAGAAATGCTTTTTTCCCCTAAGTTATTTTCACAATATGTCTTTTCTAAAAAGCTTCATGGAAGAATTGCCTCATTGTAAAAGTACTTTTGCTTTTGTGAAACTGTAGCTGCAGATGCAAATAATTGTAACTGTGTTTCTTACCATGACCATAGAATAAATTCTGTCACATATGATTAAATAAAAGCTTCGACAGGTTTGTTCCTATTTTTTCCCGAAGATTCAAAAAAGAACTTTCTCTTGTCATTGCAACTGGAAAATTAAAGCTGATTTTTGTCTTTAGAACAATACATTAATCTGTTTTTTCCCTGATGCTCACCTCTTCCAAATTCCTCCCCACTCCTCAGCCTGAATCTCTCTAAGCTAGTTTTTGTCTTTATAGAGTGATACTTTAATCTGTTATGTGAAAGCACTTACTCCTTTTTTCTCCCTTTACATAGATCTTGTGCTTAAATAGCTAGACTGTCTTTATGCTGTCCCAAGTTCTGGGAAGCAGATATATATTAGGCTTCATTGTTTGTGTGCGAGAACACAAACATAACATGACTCAGAAGCTCCTATGATGGTTAGAATCAAAAGCACTTTGAAAATTGGGAGGTAGATAGGTAAACCCATTCTGTGAGTAATCCTAATATTTCTGAAACAGGGTTTTAACTCAAATAGAAGCATATCTTCTAGATCGCTTCTAGATCAGTCAGTTCTGAGGATGCTTCATTAACACATCTTCTTTTGCCCTCTCCAGTTGTGTTTGTCATTGGCAGTACATTGTACAAGAAGGTCCAGCCCCAGGGTAACATCATAGCTAAAGTCATCAAATGCATTGTTGTGAGTATTTCAGGAGCTCTCTCTCAATGTCATTTAGTCACCCCAAAATCTTCTATCTCCTTCAAATTATAATTCAATGAAATGTTGACTTTCCTTTATGCATTTTATTAGTGTTCTTTACTATTTTAATAAATTGAAGTTTCTAATTAGGCTCGCTTAATGGAAAAGGAAAAAATAGAGAGAGGGATGGAAATGGCTCTTCGACTTATAAAATAAGATCAATGGACAAAGAAAATCAAATCAAAGTGACTCTTTACCTTTCAAGATGGCAAACAATGTCTGATGTTTGTCAGGGAGCAGCGAAACAAAAATGAAGAGGTGTAGTTTGGTACTGTATAGCAAGAGTCTAAAGCACCAAAAGTGTCAGTAATCCTACTTTTAGAATTCAAGGCTGAAAAAGTGAACACACAAAATGAACACATTCACATTCGAAGATTATCAGTGTAATATTTACAACAACAAAAATTTAAGTCCACCAAGTTGCTGAAAATAGGAAAACGATGCCTAACTTACAGTCCTATATGCCATATTATGCGGCCATCAGATGTCTTATTTTCAAAGACTATTTGGTGATAGCAACATGAGGAATATGGTTTCTTCCCTATACATCTACATGGAATATGTACATAAAGGCACATTTTAAGTCAGGAAATAAATGTTGAATATAGGAATCTTTAAATAATGGAGTCAAATAACTATTCTTTTACTCACTCCCCATTTTCTTCATGAATACATACATTCTATAATTGGGGGGAAATGTATCACTTATTTATTAAAAATAATAATGTGTGTGGATGACCTTTTGGATGTAAAGGCAATCTTAAGATAATTTTAGGTCACTTACTCTCCCTTTGCCTGGCTTTATTGCATTAAATTATATATATGCACTTTACTTTGTGAAATAAACATGTCTTCTCAGGACCCAGAAAGTTATCTTCCCTTGCAGCTGTTCCTTTTCCTCCTGTACTTTCCTCTAACATTCATTGGATTGATTCCCACCACGATTTTTTCCAAACTAGGAGGGGATCTTACCAATGATCTCTCCAAGTCCTTCCTTACCAAGTAATTGACAACTCAGTTCAAACTTCAAAAGAACAACTTTAAGCTATTTAAAGTCATGAGAATTGTGTTTCCCAGCATCCTAAAATCAGCCCATGGCTCTGAGTTATCGCCTTTCAGCACATCTGTCCCCAGCCAGCCCTACCATCGCCATACCTTACGAATGTATGTTGCTTTTCCTAAAGTCCTAAGACAAGGAGTCTTAGAAGCCTCTAATTTTATTATATTATAGACCTTCACTATCTAATATGGTAGCCACTAGCCACCTATGGCCTTGAACCAAATTTTAAATTGGCTTTCACTTCATTTAAATTATATAATTCTTTTTTTTTATTATTTTTTTTTACACCTATAGCACCCAGTCTTCCTAGGTGGTCTTCCATCCAAGTACTAACCAGGCCCGACCCTGCTTATCTTCCGAGATCAGCTGGGATCGGGCATATTTAGGGTGGCATGGCCATAGACTATAATTTCTTATACATGTATTTTTATGAAGTTGGTTCTCTTTAAACATCAATATTCAATTCAGTTATTAGAAGACTTTAAAGTATGTTTGGAACAACTTAGTTATGTAAATCTAGTTTTACAAACATAAATTTTATGAAATGTAAACAGATCAAATATATCTGGTAAAAATTTGCCATTTAAATTGGAATGTGCTGTAAGTGTGAAATATACCCTGGATTTCAAAAACTTGGTATGAAAAAAGGATGTAAAATTTTAAAATTAATTTTTTAAAATATCGATTACATATTAAGATCATATTTTCAGTTTGTTAAATTAAATAAAATTATTTAAAATGAATTTTACCTATTTCTCTTTTGCTTTTAATATGACTACCAGAAAATGTAAATTGCAAATGTGGCATCCATTATATTTCTCCTGAATGCTCTCTCTGGAGGTTCTGGAGAGCAAAGTAGTAACAATGTGACTTTGTTTACCCCAACTCACACACTCGTAGTCAATAAGAGATTAGAAATAAATTTATGTTATGACTTTTAACATTGCCATCATACCACTGTATACAACTTTATATTTTGCTTTTCTCATGGGTTTTCCATTAAAAGGAGTTTAATTGAAATGTGTTTCCCTGATAAAGTTATTGGTTCTGTTTTAAAATTTGCTTTTTCTTCCTTCTTTCAGTTTGCCATCAAAAATAGATTTAAGCATCGGAGTACGGAATTTCCCAAAAGGGAGCACTGGCTGGACTGGGCCAAAGAGAAGTATGACGTGAGTGATCTTTATCGCCTCAGTGTCCCCAGTGACCTTCTAGAAAGTGAACATCCACAGTTGCAATTCATATTATTAAGTCTTCATGGACAAAGTTATTATCTGTATCTTCGTAACCTTTATCAGCATGTTAAATGAGACTCTGGGAGAATGTTTTTTTATATTGAGAAGAACTGAATAAACAATGAATATAATTTATCTGAAACAATTGTACTTTTCCATTGATTTTTATTCAATATAATCTACCAGTATATGTAATTGTGATCATATAACTTTAGTTCGAATATAGAAGCATTAAGTGGTGATGGTGGAATTTACATTTAAATTCAAGTAATTTACCTCCTAAACAGATGTGTTCACTCATATTTGAAACAGCTTAGGAAGTTTTGGTTTTCTAATGAAACCTAGGGTAGGGTTCTTTGGAATCCATAATCACTACTCAGCTTCTCTAAATGCAAATATGTCTACACTGAAACTAACACTGCTGCTGGCCGTGAGTGACGGGAGTTGCATCTGATCAGTTCCTCTCTCACTCCAAATACAGGAGCGGCTTATCGTTCAAATAAAGATGGTGACCAGGGTGATGTTCCTGTATATTCCACTCCCAATGTTCTGGGCCTTGTTCGATCAGCAGGTAATGTGAAACTATGTTTTTGTACATCTTCATTTAGCAAACATTTGGGGGAGCACTACTATGTACCATGCCATAGTTAGTTACCTAGCTCCTAAAAATATTCTCTTCCAACTTCTTATTTATTTATTTATTCATCTATTTATTTATTTATTTATTTGATTATTATTAGATTACGTTGAGTTTCTTTTTTTAAAAAACCAACCCTAGATGGTTCTATCCACATTTCTGTTACAAAACAGTGAAGAAATTAGGTAAAAGGTATAAATTAGGTCAAGTAAAAAAGCCTTAGGAAAAACTTGATCAAAGAGTCCAAGACTCTTGTGGTTCAAAACAAGAAAAGAGTTTTCCTACTGCTATCTCATGGTAAAAGGACGTATTGCCTTTTTTGGGATCCACAGATCACCCTGCTCTCTTCCACAGCTGTAAGATGTGTGCCTAGGAGTTTTTCAATATAGGGTTGGACAATTCAATGCATGATGCTCAGTAACCAAAGTAATGAAATATTATTTCTTTTAGAAACTGGAGTTTTAAAAAAATTACAAACGTGATTTTATTGTGCAAGAACGATTGTTATAAGGGTAAACCATCTCTTAGAAAAAAATTGAGTGTACACATTAATCTCCTAATTTGCAAGTATGGAATTTAGACCAGCATCTTAAGGACCAGGGAGACAGTCTTGCATGTTGAATAGAGTCGGATTGGCACTAGAAATACACTCATCACATTTTAGTTATTTAATGGGGCAAATCCCATAACCCTTCTGAAATGATAATAACCCACAGCAAGGCTGTGAGGATAAAAAATAGAGAATATATATAAGGTAATCAGGGACTAACAAATATAAGAATTCAAGCAGCACCACATTTTCTGGCTTTCTATGATATCCACCTACTGGACTTGATAGATTATATTGAAACATTTACATCTTTAGTCTTCCATGGAAATAACCATATATATTTGTACAGTCGTAAGTCATCTTTTCCTATAAAATAAGTTGAATGTAACAAGGCTGCCCCAGTTTAAATTCCTCGCCCTCTTCATGGAATCACATTTTAGGACAGCCTAGGCTATCCAAAATGGCTCGTGGCAATAATGTTCTTGAAACTATGATGCCAGTAAATAAGAATATTCTCAGAGTGTGAAGCTGCTTCCAGCTTGCAGTGATGTCACGTTTCCCAAGAAGCCTGAGGAATGCACTTTTGTCCTGCCCAAGGATAGCTTTATCTAGGAGTAGTACTTGGTAGCTCCTTCGTGAGGGTTGAGAGTACCATATGTTGTATTAACTCGTAGAGCAGAAATGCAAGTTGTTTCTTCTCACCCAGTATTACAGTGGAGATGAGAGACGAACTCGATGTTGAAAAAAATTTTAAAGCCTGTAACATTTCAGACTGCATTCCTGATTTGGAAAAAAGTCAACATTAACTTGTAAAATGTTTAAAATCCACATTCCCAAATGATGCAGTAAATGTATTCTTTTTTTTAAGGGCTCTAGGTGGACACTACAAGCAACAACTATGAATGGGAAAATTGTAAGTGTGAGACATCAAGATATTTTACCTCCCCTGGTCACTATTGCTTTGTTTTAATCCCTTTGCCCTTTTTCTTATTCCCTTTCATAACATTCCCAAGCCCCCTGTGGGATCACGTGTAAGAACTTACCACTGAGACTTTTTTTCTCCCCATCTTTAGGGAAGTATTGAAATTCAGCCAGATCAGATGCAGGTAAGGACAATATTTAAGTTGTTCTCAGAGATCAGACTCTCCTTTGAGACCACAGTAACAGTTCATCTCCACTTCCTCCTCAGACTGTGAACGCCATCCTGATCGTTATCATGGTCCCCATTGTAGATGCTGTGGTGTATCCTCTGATTGCAAAATGCGGTTTCAATTTCACGTAGGTGACTGGCAGGTTGGGGTTGGGATGAGGGTCCGATAATCCTAGGGCTTTGCAAATAGGCTGCACTCCCTCAGCTACCAGGCCTCTGTGGAGAGAATGCCTGTCTTCCCTCCCACAATACCACCTTTATGATGGAGTTTTAAAGAAATATATTTGAATTCAAGGTCTGTGTGCTGATGTTTCTGAAAACTTGCTCTTAAAAAAGTACTATTAATGGCAGCCTGAAAAAGCCTCTAATTAAGGCTCTTTTATATATGTTGAAGATTGTTCAGAACAGGCTTCCCTAACAAGTGCCACTTGGGCATGTAGAGTATTTTGAGCTGAATGCAATCAAGGCCCTGGGGCTCATGAGAAATTTCTGCCCCTCCCTTAAATACCTAGAAGAATCTAAATTGGGGGCCTTGAGCTGAAGGCCCTCTCCCTTAAAGATTTAAATTTGAGGCCTTGCCCATAATAAGTTATTACCAGAAATAACTTTATGGCCTATCTATAGGGCAGGGCAAACATCTAAATTACTGAACATCAGGCTCTTATCATCCTGTGAATTGCCCTCCTCCCCTCTGAAACCCCAAGGCATTTTACCTCATTCTTTGCTTCAGGATGCCATATATACCCCATTTTCCCTTTCTGTCCTTGAACCTCTTATTTATGTAGGGTTTCTATAGAAATGTATGTAATTATATTTGGTTACTTTCTCTTGTTAACCTATCTCATGTCGATTTGATAAATCAACAGAAAGAACTTAAAATGATAAAGATAATTTTCTTCCTCCCTTATAATGTAGATAATAGAAATATTAACTCTAATCCAAAATATCACTCAAATTATAGTTTCTAGAAATTAAATGTAAAGATACAAATGAGAAGCTGTATTACATTTATCCTTTCTAGACTTGGTCGTGAGTAAGAGATGAAGAGATGCTTTCGATTTCATGTGTTTGGGGGGAAGTTAGTTTTGTTTAGGGGGACGGTGAGAGAGGAATGCTTCCTTCAGGGCTCATCATTAGCTCGTTTGTATAAGGCTAGTTGAGAGTCACTCTCTTGCTTGTCCCATCAGCTCCTTGAAGAAGATGACAGTTGGAATGTTCCTGGCTTCCATGGCTTTTATGGTGGCTGCAATTGTGCAGGTGGAAATTGATGTGAGTTGCACTCTGATTCTTCAGTGGCCTTCCCTGATCACTCAGGTTGGGTGTTCAGAAGCCTTCTTTCTCCAAGACTGAGATGATTAGGGGAGGCCAGGGTCTTTGCTGATAAACTAGGTCCTGGAGCTATGGACAGTGTACCACGGGGGCAAAACAGTCCCTTTCTGACAGTGTGCACTGCAGGGTCTTATCATTGAAAAGGACACAGCCAAAAATAGGGTCAAATGGTTGCCTTTAATTCAGAGAAAAACTAGATGGCAGTTAGAAAAGGAGCTTCCATTTATAATTCAGTTTTTATAGTAGGAGGAAAGTTTATGGAACTTGTTCTTTTGCAATATGAACTCCTAAAAGATCTAGAGGAAGTTCAGCACTCACAAAGTACTTCAAAAAATGTGTAAATTGTCTTTGATGAGTCTTCCCTTTTGTATTCTAATGTTTCTAATAATGATTAATTCCTAAGCTAATTCACAGGTCTTTGGGCCCACCACGGGGCTAAACTACACTTCTAATGCCCTTAGTCTGAAGTCAGGTCCTAGAAATAGGGCGTTATGTAGTATGTAAGAAAAGAGGTAAAACGGCTCTCTCCACCCACCCCCCATCACTCCCTCCCTCCTTCTCTCTCTTTTTAATTTCTATTTTAAAGTTTTTAAATTATAATATACATAACAAAATCTACCATCTTCACCATTTCTAAGTGTATGGGTCAGGAGTGTTAAGGATATTCACACTGTTGTGCATTCAGTCTTCAGAAGACTTTTTCATCTTCCCAAACTGAAGTCCTATATTCATTCAACAAAAACTCCCCATTTCTCCTTCCCCCCAAGCCCTGGTAACCACTTTTATTGTACTTTCTGCCTCTGTACATTTGACTCATCTAGATACCGCATTAAGTGGAATCATACACCATTTGTCATTTGTCTTTTTGTGATTGGCTATTTCATCTAGCATAATGTCCTCAAGATTCATCCATGTTGTAGGATGTGTCAGAGTCTCCTTCTTACTGAAGGCTGAATGATATTCTATTGTATGGATATAGCATATTTTGTTTATACATTCATCTGTTGATGGACACTTGGGTCCTACCCCTTGGCTGTTGTGAGTATGGGTGTACGCACTTTCTCTTGAGCTTAGCTAACTTTGTGGAAAATGAATCGTGGGGCTAAAATAGAAATAGATTGCTTCAGTGACACTGGGATTTGAGAAGGAG